TTTTGAATGAGAATTTTAACAATTCAAACAATTCAAATGAGAGTGTTTTGTGAAATAGAAAAACACAAAAATATATATGGCAATTCAATGGAGAAAATATGCTCTTTTATTGAAAAAATTGAACTTTAATCGTATGACGTCGAAGTCACTCATCGATCGTATCCAATTTGCGCCGTGTTGTCATTCGTGGTACTCGTATGATCTCGAGACATGACAAAATCTGTCGAGTGTCCAACATCCAATTTACCGAGCATTAGGTACGTTTGATGGTCAATAAATTTTCTCGAGTAACGATTAAAAAACATTCTATTTGACACCAATTAAAAATCAATTGCAACAGTGTTAAAATTTCGCACTCAACAATATAACTGTTATGTAACACTATGTATATTACATTATTTATATTATTGAATGCAAAATTATGTAATGTTAGTTTATTGTGCCGATTGGAATACTTTTTCTTATTTGCGCTAATCATATTGTGTTAATTATCACGAAAAATGAAAAAAACGTTGAAACACAATTTTTATTTTCAATTTGACAATTTTTCTCATTGCTATATAATCAAACTATTTTTTAATATATTAAAAGTATTATATTTAAAAATAATTTAATTAAAGAAAAAATTTACATTCCTCAAAAATCTTTAAACTTTATTTAATACAAAACTTTATATTACTTTATAAATTTTTTTTAAACTTATATATTATTTATATATCTTAATATTATAGATATATTATTTCAACGCATAAATATATGTATTTAATGGAAATAATTTCCATTTCCAAACTTTATTTAAAACATTCCATCTAACTTTTATTAATTAAATCTATTAAATAAAATTATTTAGAAAACTAAAGATCTTTAAAAAGAAGATTGGAAAACAATACAAAGTGTCTTACAAAACCGTAAAGTGGTTACACGATTAATGAATTGGAAATAAAAACTCTAAACGATCAAGCTCAGGATTTTTAGTGCTGAAATAATTCTATGTGAATTTATATACTGCATACTCAATTCCTCAAACTGCGAGCCAAATTTATTTTTAGTCTTAAAACGCAATTCTAACAGAATTAGAGTTGTAATATCACAAATTCCTAAGCAATTTAATTAAAATGATGCTGATATTAACTCAGTCATTATGATTATTAACATAGAAAATTTTGTCTCAAAAAAGAACAAGAGAGAAAAAGATTTACATTGACTGCTTAACACTTCTTTTACTTTTTTACTTTTACGTCGATTAACTTAACCAGAAATTGGTCCTAAAATCTGTACATATTTTTTGCAATAAAATTATTTACAAATTTTAGGATTGTTTATCAATTTAATTATATTTAATATAATTAAATTGCTTATCAATTTAATTTCATCATGTTACTACTCTAGTTCCATTAGAATTACATTTCAAGACCGAAAATAAATTCGATGCGCGATTTGAGGAATATGTATTAATTAGTATATAAAATTCACACAGAATTATTTCAGCACAAAAATCCAGCTTTAAAGCTTTTACTTCCAAAGGAAAAATTTCTCTTTCCCCCCAAAAAAAAAAGCGAGTTATTCTTCCAAAACCCGACCACCCTGAATAGTAAATGCACTCAGCTATACCCTTACTCACACGCACGCACGGACACGTGTGAGTGTCGTGTATGTATACATGCCGAATGAGAACCGAGTGAGAATTTCACATCTCACGGTATATCTCGTAACGGAACAAGCTCCGATTTCGCTGAAGAGAGAGAGAGATGGTGAGACATCTCTCCGTGTTTGTCCAGGATATCGAACGCGTCGCGATGAGCTGTGACGACGACGTCGAGACGTCGATGCTTCGCGACGCGCTCTGCTGGACCCTTTAGAGATTCTCGCAATCGTACGAACACGGCTGAGACGAACCGCTCGTCCTAACGTTTGCGTTGCACCTCCGCACACAACAATGCAGCGTTACTTCAAGGAGGATTGTGAAGACTCACAATCAAGCCTGTGTGGGTGCGTGCGTTCGCGTACGTGAGGTCGTTGTATTCTCTCGAGTCTCGATGGGAAACTCCGTCGTGCCATTTACCTATCGTACCATGCATTCTGCCGCCGAACTGCTCTTTGTCAAACATTACTAATTGACGCGAGCATTTTTGCCGGAAGTCTCGTTTCGGCGCATTCATCAGAATCATCTACCGTCAGTGATTATGCGGAGGTAGCAGCTTCATTTTTATCTTGCAACACGTGCGCGCTAAACAATTGCTATGTATGCGTGCTAAGATTAATAATAAGACAGAAAAAACGACGCTGTAATTAAAACTGCATATTGTAATTTATGACATTTAATATGAAAAACTTGAAAGTCGTCACTTTTGAAAGTCATTGTTTAGTTATAGCTGTTTAAATATTCATACAGTACACAGTTCTTACAACAGTGGCTTATTACAGTGATACTATAGTTGAGCTACCAAGGCCGTTTATTACTTGATTTAAATTTAATGCAAGTGCTTTGTTTATTTTTAATGACATATTATCAGAAAATACACAGTAAATTATAAACTGTACTGAAAATATCGCATAGACATGATCAGAGTTAGATTCGAATTCAGGATAAGACAGACAATAGATGTATAATAATATAACATGATTTCTAAAGTACATGTATTATATATAAATGTGTTGTACTTAATTTAAAAAATATTATGTGATAAAAATATAATGTATGTGACGATGATATTATGTATCTGATAGTACTGATGTTATTTGAAAGAGAAATAATATTACTATTAATTTTAGGGATAGTTCAACAGAATAAGTGGCAATATTGAAATTTGCAGCTGCAATATAAAAATATTCTCGGCATCCACATCTGTGATATTTGGCATACATCACCATTATCACGTATATTATGATAAACGAAAATCAACATCTGTCTTGTGCAACAGCCAACAAGAAAACAGTGTTTTCTGGTGTAGTCAGTCTCACATGGCGATTTGAGTTAGGATCAATGCCATTCTTATATTAATAATCATACTCCTGAACGTGTAAGAGAATATGCCTCTCTTTAGTATTAAATAACTTCATTAACTTATTTAAATCAAGTTGATTTATATTAATTATTAATAACGTTATATTCTTGTCAAAACAAATTACTGTATACTTTATCTAGTCTGAAATATGTAGACATTTTATTTTAATTTTTTAATCCTTCCTTGATGTTTGCAAGAATAAAAACAGTGCTTATGAGTTTTTCAATAGATAAAGAAAAATTAAAAAATAGAAATAAAATTCACGATAAAGAGTTATAGTGAATAAAATTATGTTTATTTGTTCTCAGTTAATTTTAATATTTTTTTACTTTACAGAAACTGAACAAATCATGAGGGTCACAGCGTGCCATTTTCGTCGCTGTATAATAGCAGGACTATTCATAGCACTTTTATTTTGTGTTGTTCAAGTAATACGAATAGAATTAGGATTTAATGAACCCGATATGTCAAATCTAAATAAATTGTGAGTAATATTTTTAATACAATTTAGAAATAAATAATGGCTTAATACTTATAAACAAAAGTTAAAAAAGGGACAAAAATTGTATAATAGAACATACTGATGAAGATTGAATATCGGCTGATACGTATATGAATTTCAATTTGTAATGATTATTTTAAATATATTATATCGCAACAAATAACTGACGTATTGGCTGTATGCCTTTTTTATTTATTTAACTTTTATTTATTTTTAATGTTTTTAATTCACACGCACGTGCGCGCGCGTGCGCACACACATACACACACACACGCGCGCACACACACACACACACACACACACACACACACACACACAATATCAAATATTGATATATATTTTTACATTCTAAACTTTTAAATAATTTCAGAATGTACATATCACAATTGATCAAAGAATCAGAACAGTCTTATTCAAGGTATGTATGTGATATTCTTCCTTAAACAAGTGAGCTGAATTACATACATTCAAATTAATATTAGAATTTTTAAATTAGACATAAATAAGAAAGAAACAATAATTATATATTGAACTTTATGTATGTATATCTATCTTAATCTTTTATCAATTTGTATTTGTGCAGAGATGGTGCTGTTGCATGCAAATTACCCCAATTAAATATCTCTAGTCCAGAAATAATGAAATTCATACATGATGTATCACCCTTATCTTGTGGAGCAGAAGATTGGGTTATAGTTGAAGGTTCAAGACTTGTTATTACTAATAAAGCAAAGACGAAATATGGACACATAATATGCATCTTTAGTGGTAAGTTAAAAAGAATACATATTTATTACATGGAGATAAAGACATATATTATAATGCATTTCAATAATTAAAATCGTAATGTAAAATTATTACTATTATAAAATATTATTTAGAGAGTAATCCATACTATTATTTCTTTCAGAAATTATCAGAACAGACGACTACAATAACAAATTGTTAGATGGTATAGAGGCTGATGATTTCTACATTATGAGAGAGAGTGATTTTGCAGATGTCAGATGCAAATCGAAAAGTGGAGATGTGTTAGTAGATTTATTTATTTACTTTCAAAAACGTATCCACACTATTATTCTGCTGACAATGAATGAATATGTTTAGGTGGCATAGTATACTCGCTGGTGTGAAACACGATCCGTATGTCAAACAGAAGCACAATTGGGAAAACGTACCAAACACAGTCTTGAAATTGAATGTGCTCATGTTCGGCTTTGATTCGCTGTCACGAAACACGTTCATTCGCAAACTGCCCAAAACTTATCATTTCATAAAACAACTGAACGCTCTGGTGCTAGAGGGATATAATATCGTGGGAGATGGCACTCCACAGGCACTTATTCCGATTTTAACCGGCAAGATTGAACTTGAGTTACCAGAAACGCGAAAACGAATTAACACAGCAAATTACGTCAACGTATATCCTATGATATGGAATAAATATGAGGAACATGGATACATAACAGGTTTTATGGAAGATGTACCGCATATCGGGACGTTTACTTATCGCTTAAAAGGATTTGATAAGCAACCGACCCATCACTACATGCGCACCTATTATTTAGCCGCTTCTTCATATTTCAAAACATATAATAAATTCTGTTTAGCTGGCACTCCACGCCATCTGGTATATATTAAATGCAATATAAATTTACTGATAAAATAAAGAAAGAAATAATATATAGAAAGCTAATGTTCCAAAATCTTTGTGTTAAATTATATTAAATAATATAATTGTGTTAAATTATAAAACAACTTAAAGTTGTGTACTTACATCAAACCATCAAATAAAACATTAATTTCTCCTCGACTTATGTATTCTCGTTAAACTTTTACTTACTGCTGTAATATTAAAGTATACATGTTTATGTAGGTGATGATGAATTATATAAAAACGATATTCAATACATATAAAAAGCAGCCAAAATTTGTATTTGGATTTCATGGAGAACTTTCTCATGACTCTTATAACGATATCGGGGTGGTGGACAACGATTTATATTCTTGGGTGAAAAATTTTTACGATCTTGGACATTTAAACAGTACCATTTTAATTTTAATGAGCGATCATGGACACAGGTTGGAATATCTCATATATATATATATATATATA